ATATATATATATATATATATATATATATATATATAGACGAAAATGAATAGTGATTTTACCTACCCTCATCACTGTCCAAATTTCATCGCGTGGTCACAATTGTCCGACAGTATTTTATTTTTCATTTTTTTTTACAAATCAAAATGACCTGAAATTTGGATAGTATATATATCTTATTGAGGCGCATCTAATAAAAATATACAAAAAATTATCTGCGAAAAATAAATTGACCAAAATACCTCCGAAACTTTTCGGGGCTATTTTGATCAATTTTTTTTTATGTAAAATATTGTTTTTATAATTTTCGAAGATTTCTCTATTTTTTATGAATACACGCTCCAAATTTCAGGTCATTCCGATTTGAAGAAAAAAAATGAAAAATAAAAATACTAACGGACTATCGTGATTGCGCGATGAACTTTGAACGGTAATGGAGGTAGGCGAAATCACTGTTTATTTTCGCCTATAGGCGTTGCATGGTGTTTTCCATATATAGGTATATATATATATAGACTACGTGATCAAGCTTTCGAGCTACTAGTCAGATATTCTGGTTTTGAGCAATTCAAGTGAAAAAACAAAGCTGGGAGACTTATTTCTAATATGTTTAATATTTTAAAATTTTATTATGAAGTTTTTATATTATTTTAAAATCTTATCCAACCGATTTGACCATCAGCCGAGTCAGTTTTGATTAATTGATACAACTTTAAAAATTACAATAACAACTTTAAAGTTGTTATTGTAACTTTTTTAATCATTTTGGTTCTAATTTTAATTTTTATTGGACTTGACACATCACCGGTCCGAAGGCCGGTCTCATCTTGATGACTGCATATAATACATTTGTATATCTTACTTTTAAATTGTAAAATTGACACAGATGAGGCCTAGCTCCTATCCAACAAAGTTTCCAAGAGGAAGGAGAGTTGTAGACCCGATTCTTCAAATGTGGAACAAAAAGGAAAGATGTCCACTAAGAACAGTTCCAATTCGCAGGATTACAAGAGCCGACTTGCTTAGGGCTGGTTCCATCACAAATTTTGGAAAGAAAAGCCTGAATTCGTCTGAAATAGAGGTAAAACGAATCCAAATAATTGTTTCTAGAATCAGCCTTAGTGACTGCTTTTTGAAATTGAGGTAAAACGAATCCAAATAATTGTTTCTAAAATCAGCCGTAGTGACTCGGACTCGGCCGAATTACTCAGCCTCGACCTATAAATGAGGCTGAGTAATAACTCGGCCTATGATAAAGCCGAATACTATGTAGTGAGTTTATATATATATATATATATATATATATATATATATATATATATATATACTACTACTTACTTA